AGGCAGAGGAAAGCAGCTGGAAGACAAGATGGTACAGAAATTACAAGAGGACGTGGATATGGAAGATGTTTCTTAAAAATCTTGCTGCCTGGAGCTCTTGCTACTCTACCTGTGCATTTGAAAACTTTGAAGACTTGGAACTTCTCATTGATTGCTTTGTTTTGCATACAGTCACTCAGATAAAAGGTGATTAAAAATACGTCTACATTGCTGTCTCTAAGTCATCGTATATCATAGATGTTCAATTGCATCAGAGTGTTCAGTCTTCACTTACGTGAATGATGGAGACTCTTCGTTAGTAGAGGAGTGAATTGTGACTAAAAGGTCTGTGTTGGCGTGATGGCACAGCAGCGTTCATGTGATGACAAACATTCATGGCTAATGACGTACAATAAAATTGTTCTTTGCAGTGAAATACTCGTTTTATTAATGTTATGGAAAGGATGGGGACTCAACCAGGAACTAATAATAAATGAAAATTGGCCTTATATTTTGTTTTCAAGATTTACTGTTTAGGTTTCATGCCATCGGAGAAGAGCTTAGTGACCTCGTAGATTGAAGGCTAATTATATCGAACTGTTGTGACCTCGTTCAACTGCCTTAGTCAGTTGTGGGTGTTGGAGCTAAGAGGTGAAGAGCCCTTCTCTGAAGTGGCACGAAGTTCTACTACTCTGTCGAATAGTCAGCCCTAACTTGAGGTTCCTGCTAGAACAAGCTTTGTTTTTCCAGCTGAACATTGAGTTAGAAGCAGAACAATCCCAGTGCCTCTTAATATTGGCTTTTTTAAAAAGCTCAATTATTTTTAGAAAGCAGCGTATGTATAGTGTGTCTGTAATTTGTATGTAAATGAGATCATTTCTAAGTGCCTACATATAATTTAAAGGTACTAAACAAAGCTTTTCCACTTCTACTTGGGAGAAAAATAGCTTCCCTCATATGCTGGGCTGCTAACTGCGAAGTCAGCAGTTCAAAAACTCCAGCTGCTCCCAAGGAGAAAGCTGGGGGCTCTTTACCCTCATAAAGAGTTGCCGTCTTGGAGGCCCGTAGGAGTAGTTCTATCCTATATTAGAGGGTCACTGGGAGTCGGCGTCAACTTGATGGCAGGGAGTTTGGTTTGGTTTCTACGTGCTACATGAGTAGGATATATTTCAAGTACAGGCAGTTCCTGACTTTCAACAGGGTTTCATTCCATAGACTTGTCATTAGTCGGTTCTGATGTAAGTTCAATAATATCTCATTAAAACAATTAAAAGATTTTTTAATTACTGCCTTTTAAAAAAGTGTATAATTTTATTTTATTTTTTGTTCATTCAAGTCCCAGTTTAGACTCACTTATTTAAGGTAATCTTTCAGCATGTTCTAGCTTTCTTAGTATCTTTGTGTTTTTTTTCTTTTTCTTTCTTAAATCATTTTATTGGGGGCTCGTACAACTCTTATCACAATCCATTCACCCATCCATTGTATTGCTGCCTTTATATATATTATGATCAGTTTCTTTATAAATTTGATCTTTGAACATCTAAAAATGATAATACCAGCAAATCAATGGCTATAAAATTGTATGTAGCATATATTACTAACAAGATGTAGGAAAAAAAAGCCAAAAAACCACCATGTAAGTATGGTTCTTTATATTTGAATAGGTCATAAGTTGAAGACTACCTAAAATGAATTTAATACCTCATATTTCCATATTTGTACACATTGCTCATGGCTTTAAATATATTAAGACTAGTAAGTCCGTCATTTTTATATTGATGCTATTTTCAGAATTTAGAGTGCAGATTCTTCTGTTGTTAGGTGCTGTGTGGTTGCTTTAGACTCAGCAACCCTGTGTACAACAGAGCAAGACCCCGCCGGTCCTCTGGCACCCTCACCCTGTCCGTCCGTCTGAGCCCAATGTTGCAGACACCGAGTGAGTCCGTCTTGTCAAGTGCTGCTGCTTCGCTGTCTGCTTACCAAGTATGCTGCCCTTTTCCAGGGACTGGGCTTTATTAATAATATATCCGAAGTATGTGAGATACAGGCTTCCCATCCTTGCTTCTCAGGAGCATTCTGGTGGTACTTCCACGACAGGTGTTTGTTCTTTTGACAGTCCAGGGCATTTTCAGTTTTCTCCCCCAGAACCGCCACTCTTCCCCAGGCTTCCTCAGTCAGTTCCCGACTGTCACAGGCCCAGGAGTTGATTAAAAATACAGTAGATTGGGTCAGGGGCACCTCAGTCTTCCAAGTAAACCGCCCTTGCTTTTCAACACTTCAGAGGACTTGTGCAGCAGGTTTACCCCATGCAGTGGGTTGTTTGATCGCGTGACTGCTGCTTCCGTGGGCATTGATTGTGGATTCAATCAAAACGGAATCCTTGACAACTTTAGCTGTCTCTCCATTTATGACGGTGTTGCCGATTGGTCCAGTTGTGAGGATTGTAGTCTTTACGTTGAGTTGTAATCCAAACTGAAGGCTTCACTCCTTGCTGTTCATCAGCAAATGCTTCATAACCTCACTTTCAGCAAGCAGGCTTGTGTCACCTGCATATCACAGCTTGTTAATAAACATGCCTCTACTAATTTTTAGGACTATATGACGGAATGGCATTCCAGTGTGGTTCTGCCTTTTTAAAAATTTTATTGGCAAAATACAGTGTATTTGTAAGCCACCGTATTGTATTGCTATTAAGGTTAAAGTAAATGGTAAATGCCTTTATAAAAGTTCTTGACAATTTTTCACTCCATAACATTCATATTTAATATAAAGGTATTTGAAATGACATATATTGGAAGCAAGTTTTTTCCCCTAACAGCTTTATTGACATATAATTCACATATACAATTCAGTAGTTTAATCATATTTAAAAGATTTAAGAATATGAACTCATTATAATCGATTTTCTTCTTGTACTCATGAAACCATTAATCCAGTTACTGTCTGTAGACTTCGCTATCCTGGGTTTCATATACAGAAAAGCACACCAAAGATCCAGAAACCACAACAGTTAACAAACCAGACCTTAATTAAAAAACAAAATATTAAAAGCTAGAACACATTTAAAATGGGTCAGTTGGTAATGGTGATGTGTAACGTTGTAACGCAGCTGCCTCCGCAGTCATCTGCTTTCCAGTGCGCTCTGGACGCGGCCGTTCACAGCCCTGGTCTTTAGTCAGAAAGAGTTCACGGGAATCTTACACCACACGTACTTCCCCTTTTATTTCTTTGGGCTGAAATAACTTTAAACTGGATCAAAAGGAAGATGAAATGATCAGATAATACATTTTAATCCGACTTCATCAGCAGTAGTTGACTTTACCACGCTCCCCAGCTGTGTTCACAGGAGACTCACGGGAAGTCTAGCCTGTGTGTGGGCCCTGCAGATGGATCCTGGGCTTCCACTGTCACCCACAAACGTATGCAAACTGGGTGTTCACAGTTTAAGCTCTGATACCATTCCCTTCTTAGTTTTGGATTTTATTATTTATATCCTGGATCACACTGGCTGGTGTGATTCTTCATGTGGATTTATTGACGCCTCCCTTAGATGGCTGCTTATTTGAAGACAAGCCTTCAGAATCCCAGACACGATTCTTTGTGATAACCAAGCACCACCTAGTTTCTTCGACACACCTTCACTAGCACTCATCTTCATGTGTGGGTGAGCATTAAGTAGGGCCATGTCATAAGAACTAATTGTTTTTAAATTGGGGCTAGAATTAACTGCTAGCCCCAAATCCATTCGTACATATATCTATGGTTTATATATGGCCCTGGTTCACTTTGGAGACATCAGTGTTTTGTGTTAGAGAACATTATCAGTTATCACCCTAGTGTCAGGGGAGAGAGCCCCTAACACATCATCACAGGTCCGGTAGGCACAATTGTACAGTGATAATAAGTAAAGATTATAGTAAAGTCAAAGAGAGCATGAGAGATAGAAGAGAGATCGAAATAATGGAGTCAGACACATTTCATGGTAGCATGCTCACCTCAGCCTCACTTGGTGGTCCACGTGGAGAGAGATTTAATGCCAACCAAGGCTTACATATTCTCTGGGGATGTGCAAGCCCCCTAATTACAGGTAAGACATACATCATAGGAAAGCATTGTGTTATAGGTAACACAGTAATGGGAGGGGGGTGATCTAGGGGTTCTTAGGCTATTGGGAGAGGAGGGAATAGGTATTCATGTGCAAGATGAGTGGACCCTAGATTCATGATGCTGCCCTAACCTTGGATGTCACTGAGCACGTTTGACCTGTTCTCTGGATCTCCGTAGAAACCATTATCAGTAGGGTATGAACCCCACCTACAGGGACCAAACTGATGGTCTCAAGCCTTTAGGGAGAAGTAACCCATTGTCCTTAACAGCAGGGAGTGGGCCCTCTTGTGGTGAGACCAGACAGTACTCTGGCAACTGACTGCCTTCAGGAAGGCTGTCTCTAAGCATCTGACCTCCCACCATATGCTGGCAAATAGCTGCTGATGTTTGGCATGTCTTTGGGGGAGACAAAGCTGGGGAAAAGTCTCTTTATAGTCCCACAACTCTAGGACATAAGGTAATTTTGTTGATAGTGTCAATTTAGCTAATGGCACAAAATTTAAAGCACTGTTGAGAAAAGGAAATTATACAAATATAGGCCGATTATGAACCACAATCTATGAGTTGACTTGTACAGTTAGAACCCTCAAGTGACTACAGGATTTACACAAACAATGGGGGTTGGTGGTAGGACAAACTTAGTAAAATTCATTTATAAAGAACCGTGCCTACTAGATTAGTGCATGTCATGATAAAGAAAGGAGGGCATTAAAATAGTAAATACTGGGCCACCGTTCATTGGGCACCCTCAAGGCAAGATGTCCTAACCAAAGTCCAGTGACCGCCAGATCTATAACCTTGGGATTGTAGTCATCTGCTCATGCTACAGTTTTAAGCTTATGTTGCAGCTTTAAGTCCAAGGAGTACAGGTGAGTTTGACAAGAAGCCCAGGTCATTTAGTGGGATTTCCATTGAGTCCTTCTGTTGTGGCCTATGAAGGAGGCTGTGGGTCTCACAAGAACAGCGTCCCAGTAGTCAAAAGCACATGGCCGGTGTCACCAAGGGCTGGGTAGAGGAAGATAAGTTTTAAAGGTTGTTAGCTGGTGAATATTGCTTTTTCTTTATTTTTTAAAAAAATACGTTTACTGGGGGTTCGTCCACCTCATCACAATCCTTACATCCATCCATTGTGTCAAGCACATTTGTACATTTGTTGCCATCATCATTCTCAAAACATTTGCTTTCTACTTTAGTATTAGCTCCTCATTTTTTCCCCGCCCTCCCTTTCCCTCACGAACCCTGGATAATTTATGAATTATTATTCTTTTGTCATGTCTTCCACTGTCCGACGTCTCCCTTCACCCACTTTTCTGTTGTCCGTCCCCCAGG